CACATGACAAGGTCGGGTCTTAAGGATGTCTCACATATGTCTTCTGGGAAGCAAAGTTGTCTGTCCAAGTCTACCAGAAGCTTCCACTTTCCTCGGCTTGCTTCTTGGTGCTGCTTCCTTCGGCCTCTGCCCTCCTCTTACAAACTGAATGGGCTGCCATGATGTCTCCGTTCCTGCGGATTCCCTCCTTACATTCTCCAGGGTTATGGCAATCTGTCTAAGAGCTCTGAGAAAGAAAATATGATGACGTCATCCGTAAGGTCCATAAATCATATCCATAACCCTTTTGTACCCAGGTATCAATATTCAGTACAACTACAACTCTTTCTAAATTTCTTTGTGACAAAACGATGGAAAAGTAAAATGCCAAATTAACCAGTGAGGAAATAACATTCCGAGATCTGGCGATTTTTAAAAACAATTTATTAACCTGTACATGTCACGTCACTTATTTGGCTACTATCTATCTATGTTAGGATGCCCTACGGTTGTCCTATATGGCGGCTCCGACACTCTGCAGGCCTCTAGGATGACGTCCTACACCATGACGGGACACACCTACGGTGACCGGCCCGTGTACTACAGCAGCGTCAACTGCAACTACCTGTATTACCACAAGCCTACCATGGAGTGGTGCGTGGGACCGCAGTTCTACAGCAGTTACGTGCGCGTCAGGGACTCCGCCCTCTACGCTGACCAGATCAACGGGACGTTCCGTCTGTGGAACGGGACGTTCCTTCTGTGGGACCGCCAGGGGCAGTGGATAGAGAACCCGGATGTGAAAATCGCTTGCTCTGGTTCGTAAAACCTACTATATTTGATGACCACATGCAAATGGATCCGACAAAGTCTGATCCCCAACATTTAATAGAAGAAGAACTTTATTGCACGACAACTGTACAGGGTACATTGCATGGCAAATAAGTAACAATAGGTAGTAAAACTTAACAAACTTAATAACTTATATATAGAATGAAAGAATGAGGGTTAACCCTCAAACACCCGAACGGGGTCCATTTGGACCCCAGGCGTATATTTTTATGTGCTATTTGAACATTTTTGATCCAAAAAAAATTCCTCCCGTGACTTTGTCGATAAACCTCTTCTTCAACTTCTCTTAAATGTTTTTTGGAGATCGGCACAAATTTGTAAGAATAACAACGGGAAGTCTGATGTAAGACGTCTGGGGTCCAAACGGACCCCAGCCATATTTCCCCCTTCCTACACACAAAATGGTTTGTCTATGTCCTCAAAATGTCTTTAAGGAAGCATTATTGCTTTCATATTATGCAGTTTGCCAAGTAACCTCAGGAGTCATTTCATCAGGTTTTAGAGGTTATTACATTTGACCATAATATGAGGTCAAAGGTTAACCCCATGTTCATGCCTGCAGGCCTCATCCTTCTTTTTGCATAAATTATGATAATGAGTTGTAATATTTTGCACTTAATCATGCCAAATTATACCCCTTGGTATGTTTAACTAATATATGTACAAAGATCACTGAAAGAATGCAAAAAAAAGAATAAAAATTTGAAAGAAACAAAATGGGGACCATTTGGACCCCGTTCGGTCATTACCGTCACAAAAAAAGGTCGGGTGTTTGAGGGTTAAAAGTTAGCTTAGGCTTTTCAATCAGGCGGAGTTATTTATGGGTACATGTGACAGCAAATCAGTATTCTTTCTAATAGCAAAACAGTCTTTTATGTATCTCCCTATTCTTGCATTGTGTGGGCTATAGCATTTAAATATATAATCAAATCTATCTGTAGCAACAAGTCTATTGAAATCTGTCGTATTTGAAGTGAGAAATTTGAATAGCTTATCACGTAGTACATCATATCTAGAGCATTCCATTATAAAATGAAATTCATCTTCGATTTTCTGTGGGCAAAATGGTCAGGGGCTACATTGTAATATCTTCCTGTTTCTATATTCAATTTGTGACTGCTGATTCTTAGCTGTGTTATTGCTTTACGGATTTCAAAATTTTCTATATCATAAAGGTATTTTTCTTGNCTCCTTCTTTTTGCATAAATTATGATAATGAGTTGTAATATTTTGCACTTAATCATGCCAAATTATACCTCTTGGTATGTTTAACTAATATATGTACAAAGATCACTGAAAGAATGCAAAAAAAGAATAAAATTTGAAAGAAACAAAATGGGGTCCATTTGGACCCCGTTCGGTCATTACCGTCACAAAAAAAGTTCGGGTGTTTGAGGGTTAAAAGTTAGCTCAGGCTTTTCAATCAGGCGGAGTTATTTATGGGTACATGTGACAGCAAATCAGTATTCTTTCTAATAGCAAAACAGTCTTTTATGTATCTCCCTATTCTTGCATTGTGTGGGCTATAGCATTTAAATATATAATCAAATCTATCTGTAGCAACAAGTCTATTGAAATCTGTCGTATTTGAAGTGAGAAATTTGAATAGCTTATCACGTAGTACATCATATCTAGAGCATTCCATTATAAAATGAAATTCATCTTCGATTTTCTGTGGGCAAAATGGTCAGGGGCTACATTGTAATATCTTCCTGTTTCTATATTCAATTTGTGACTGCTGATTCTTAGCTGTGTTATTGCTTTACGGATTTCAAAATTTTCTATATCATAAAGGTATTTTTCTTGTTCATAACATTTTTTTTGATTTTTCAAGATATGATAGTTCTGAATTATTTCTAATGCAACTAAACCAGTCTTGTATGTGAGAGTCATGTAGCCGCTGGCTAAGTTGGTGGACTATATAATCAACTTGATAACGATCCGGTTTCATCCATATGTGCCCAAGGCCCTGATAATTAAGAATATCTTTTACATGATAATATGTGTTACTATGTAAAGTTTAGCTTTTTTCATAAAATAAAGAAACATTAAAGGACGAAATGGTAAGGTTGTTCCAAAATAGATTGTTACGATCAAACCGTAAGATATCAATTTCTTTTCATTTTAAAACCTGGTTGCCTAGAATTCGAATATATGAATATATGATATGCTAAATATTCTGATAACCCTATAAGCACATATACGTTTCATCTTTCTGTATAATATGTAACAATATCCTATCATTGTTAAGTTATGTCAATGTAATTGTTGTAAATTTTAACATAAAATCTGTACTAGTCTAGTGCATAAGCGATGTTACGTATATGCAGAGCAATACATTTTTATTTGTGTGTACACTAGTAATTGTAAAAGCTGCTTAATTCAGCCTCTAGGCTGCACAAAAAATCTTTCAATTTGCTGTATTATGTCTTTGCAAGAATAAACCAGTCACATATAGACCCTTTTTTGTAATATTCCTTTTGAGCTTACAATCGCGGCCACATAGAGTCTGCATCTTTATCCTTATTCGTTTCAGATGACGTCCCGGCTGACGTGGTAGTTTTACAATCGGTAGGGGGCGCTACAAACTGTGCGAGGGTCCGTCTGCACGGAGATGCCGACTTCCTACCCTCCCTCGTGACGATCTACAACACGACGACCTGGGAATTCACCAGAACAGACCACACCAGAAGCGGCAGACCTATCTACGTTAGTGACACAGACAGTCGATTCTTTCTCGACTTCAACGAATACGAGCTAATGTGGTTGGTAAGACGCACGACCGGCTTAAGCAGAGACTCCGCTTTTGTCCGGAACTGCGCCATGACACCTGACCAGATCAGGTCACCGTGGGAACTGTGGGACGGAAGCCAGTTGCATGTCGTCTGGTCAGTTACTGCCAGCTGTGTTGGTACGTGTCGTATATCATACATTCGCCATTGAGGTTATGTTTTCGGTAGCGTTTGTCTGTGCGTGAGCGCGCGCGCGCGTGTGTGTATGTGCATGTATGTGTGTGCGTGTGTGTATGTATGTATGTATGTATGTATCTGTGTGTGTGTGTGTGTGTATGTGTGAGTGCGTGTGTGAGTTTGTGTGCGTGTGTGTACATGTATGTGTGTGTGTGTGTGTCACTATGTGTGTGTATGTGTGTGTGTGTGTGTGTGTGTGTGTGNAAGGAAGCATTATTGCTTTCATATTATGCAGTTTGCCAAGTAACCTCAGGAGTCATTTCATCAGGTTTTAGAGGTTATTACATTTGACCATAATATGAGGTCAAAGGTTAACCCCATGTTCATGCCTGCAGGCCTCATCCTTCTTTTTGCATAAATTATGATAATGAGTTGTAATATTTTGCACTTAATCATGCCAAATTATACCCCTTGGTATGTTTAACTAATATATGTACAAAGATCACTGAAAGAATGCAAAAAAAGAATAAAATTTGAAAGAAACAAAATGGGGACCATTTGGACCCCGTTCGGTCATTACCGTCACAAAAAAAGGTCGGGTGTTTGAGGGTTAAAAGTTAGCTCAGGCTTTTCAATCAGGCGGAGTTATTTATGGGTACATGTGACAGCAAATCAGTATTCTTTCTAATAGCAAAACAGTCTTTTATGTATCTCCCTATTCTTGCATTGTGTGGGCTATAGCATTTAAATATATAATCAAATCTATCTGTAGCAACAAGTCTATTGAAATCTGTCGTATTTGAAGTGAGAAATTTGAATAGCTTATCACGTAGTACATCATATCTAGAGCATTCCATTATAAAATGAAATTCATCTTCGATTTTCTGTGGGCAAAATGGGCAAAATTTGGTCAGGGGCTACATTGTAATATCTTCCTGTTTCTATATTCAATTTGTGACTGCTGTTATGTCAGTTATGTCAATGTAATTGTTGTAAATTTTAGCATAAAATCTGTACTAGTCTAGTGCATAAGCGATGTTACGTATATGCAGAGCAATACATTTTTATTTGTGTGTACACTAGTAATTGTAAAAGCTGCTTAATTCAGCCTCTAGGCTGCACAAAAAATCTTTCAATTTGCTGTATTATGTCTTTGCAAGAATAAACCAGTCACATATAGACCCTTTTTTGTAATATTCCTTTTGAGCTTACAATCGCGGCCACATAGAGTCTGCATCTTTATCCTTATTCGTTTCAGATGACGTCCCGGCTGACGTGGTAGTTTTACAATCGGTAGGGGGCGCTACAAACTGTGCGAGGGTCCGTCTGCACGGAGATGCCGACTTCCTACCCTCCCTCGTGACGATCTACAACACGACGACCTGGGAATTCACCAGAACAGACCACACCAGTAGCGGCAGACCTATCTACGTTAGTGACAAAGACAGTCGATTCTCTCTCGACTTCAACGAATACGAGCTAATGTGGTTGGTAAGTCGCACGACCGGGTTAAGCAGAGGCTCCGCTTTTGTCCGGAACTGCGCCATGACACCTGACCAGATCAGGTCACCGTGGGAACTGTGGGACGGAAGCCAGTTGCATGTCGTCTGGTCAGTTACTGCCAGCTGTGTTGGTACGTGTCGTATATCATACATTCGCCATTGAGGTTATGTTTTCGGTAGCGTTTGTCTGTGCGTGAGCGCGCGCGCGCGTGTGTGTATGTGCATGTATGTGTGTGCGTGTGTGTATGTATGTATGTATGTATGTATCTGTGTGTGTGTGTGTGTGTGAGTGCGTGTGTGTGTGTGTGAGTTTGTGTGCGTGTGTGTACATGTATGTGTGTGTGTGTGTCACTATGTGTGTGTATGTGTGTGTGTGTGTGTGTGTGTGTGTGTGTGTGCGCGCGCGCGTTTGTGTGTGTGTGTGTGTGTGTCTTCTGATATCTCTTGATCTGGACATGCTTGGGTCATGAATTTTTTTGTCTTCTCGCAAAAAGTCGTTTAAGCTTGGTCCCCTTAGCACCTTTTCTATAACTGCTAGGAAGAACCGGCTTTCTCTCGTAGTAATTGTACCATTTCCTACCTAGAGGTACTATATATCTTGTGTTATCTTTACAATTAGCCTGTCCAGAGCTACCGTTCCAACCAACGGCAACAGGACAGAAGGCCAACTCCACGGAGACACAGTCACCTTTTCCTGTAATGAAGGCTACGAACTGATCGGTCCTGAAAAACAGAACTTGCCAGACCAACCAGAGCTGGTCCGGTGAACAGCCAAAGTGCTCTGGTAGGTGATAGCTTTTAACACTATGGTACATATATATTGTAATTGTCTATTTGGATTAATAATCAGTTTACAATATACAGTACAATACGTTTTAACTATGCCCAGCTCCTTTTTTAGATAACGCAATGCTGGCGACAAAAATATCTACAAGTCTCTTGTCATGGAAATTAATATACTATGTTCTAGTAACGCTTTGTTGTTATTATCATTGTCCAATGAAATATGTTCATTGCCCTGACGTCGTTTTAATGTATTGCAGGAAAACTCTGCCAACAACTGATGGCACCTTCTAACGGCAACATCAGCGGCGGCAGTTCTTATGGGGACGTCGTTACGTATTACTGTGACGCTGGATACGAGATCAGCGGCGATGAAGAACGAACTTGCCAGTCAGACCAGACTTGGAGCGGCACGCAGCCTTCATGTGTCCGTGCGTGGTTTCCTTAAGTTTATTACCTTCGCCAAGAAGGTTATGTTTTCAGTAGCGTTTACCCGTCTGTTTGTCTGTGAACAGCATAACTCAAGAAGCTTAAATATGCATTGTCATGAAACTTGGTAGGTGGGTAGGTCTTTATAAGAGCTAGAAATGATTAGATTTTGGCCCCCTGGTGGCTTCCTAGGTACTGCAGAAGAACTTCCGGTTTTGACTTCTCATGATCTAAACATGCTGGGGTCACCAATTTTTTGTGGTAGATAGCTCTTGGGTAGGGAGAAGTGGCATGAGTTTGGGCCCCCTAGTGGCTTGTTGTGGAACTGCAGGAGCATTAGTTGAAATACGTTTGAAGAAGAATAACTCAAGAACCAATGGACGGATTGTCGTGATTTTTGGTATGTAGGTAGCTGAAGTGATGCTTAACACAATCAGATGACAATTATGCAAATCAGGTGTAAATTGCATAATTAATGAGGACATTCTATCAATCTACTTTGTTCGATAAGTAATAGATAGAGCACGGTTTGAGGCTGACTATGAGGATTTAGAACTGCCCCGCCCACCAAGGGGATTTCATGTCTCCCGAGGCCGGAGGCCGAGGGTGACATGAAATCCCCGAGGTTGGGCGGGCAGTTCTAAATCCGAGTATTCAGCCTCAAACTGTGCTCTATCTAACTTAGAGCACTTCTAGGTCCCCGAAGTTGATCAACTCCATCCACTAGAACTTGATTGTGCTTTATAAATCTTTGTTTAGTGTCACTTTTTGTCTTGTTTCGAGGAGTTGTTTGGTTGTCCATCTGGGCTGATTAACGACCGCTAGGTCGTTAATCAGCCCAGATGGACAGCCAAACAACTCCAAGAAGAGTCAAACCATGTGTGGTGATGAGCCGGTCAGTCTCCTCTGATTCCCCAGGGCAGAAAGCTGGACACTGCCATTGGCCAGTTGTTGTTTCCATGAAAATAACAATGGGCGGGTCCAACATAGTGTAATTTATTTGGTTAGTTAGAGTACCTCTGTCCCTAGAGAGGGACCAATTCCAGCTCACTGGTTGGCTGAGAAGAGGGTGGCTGGTTAGTTAGTGCACCTCTACCCCAAGGGAGAGAGGTGCACTAACTCACAAGTATGCTACTATGTGGATATAATCACTAAAAATCCAGGATCCCTATTGGCTGAGGGGACCTAGCAGTGCTCTAATAGGACTATGAAATACTTGTGACATGTAATTGAGAACGAAAAAAAACATCTGAGGATATATATAAGTTTGTTAAGTTTTACTACCTATTGTTACTTATTTGCCATACAATGTACCCTGTACAATTGTCGTGCAATAAAGTTCTTCTATATTATGTAAATGAAGCCCTAATTTGCAGAATTAGGGTAATTCTTATAATTTCATAGTTGTAACTGCTGGGATTTTCATACTTGCCACATTTGGAAGTTAAGTGAAGGCGAACTTGAATAAACATAATTTACCCAAATCATGACCTCATTTGCATAATTCATGAGGTGCTAAAAGCCTTTTTTTTTGTAAAAATAAGGCTGTCATTGGGTGGAGAACATGATCAACTGATAAAATCCATGCAAATGAGGCTATATTTGCAAAATCAATGATTAAAACTGTATTATTCATCAACCGCAAGGGTTAACCTCATTTGGCGAAGGTATGAAATCGTGGAACTCTTGTTTTCCTTGAAACTTTCGTCTACTTTTCAGATTTTTCCAAAGTGAAATATAGTTCTAAATTTTTGACGAACTGTTACAACGAATTTAAATTGTGTATTTGAGCCTCCCTAACATAGAAATAGCGGGTATCTTTTCCATAATTACTACTAATTCCCTGTCTAAAGTAGTTTCATGTAAAAAGTCAAAACATATGATCCAACACAAAGAAATCCTCTCACCTAGAGCTTTTGACCAGTCACTCTGATCTTCTTTAATAGACTAACCAAGTGAGACTTTGTCACGTGGCTTTTCTAAGGTGTGACTTGTTTATAGGATACCTTTGACCTAGTGTTGACGTCACAATTAAGAGACGCCACGTGGCAAATCTCACTGGGTCAGTTTACTGAGGAAGACCAGAGTGATTCGTCAAAAGTTGGTGACAAAAATATCTACAAGTCTCTTGTCAGGGAAATTAATATACATGTTCTAGTAAAACTTTGTTGCTATCATCATTGTCCAATGAAATATGTTCATTGCCCTGACGTCGTTTTTGTGTGTTACAGGAAAACTCTGCCAACAACTGATGGCACCTTCTAACGGCAACATCAGCGGCGGTATTTCTTATGGGGACGTCGTTACGTATCACTGTGACGCTGGATACGAGATCAGCGGCGATGAAGAACGAACTTGCCAGTCAGACCAGACCTGGAGCGGCACGCAGCCTTCATGCGTCCGTGGGTGGTTTCCTTAAGCTTATTTTCTTTGAAACTCTCGTCTACTTTTCAGATTTTTCCAAAGTGAAATATAGTTCTAAATTTTTGACAAACTGTTACAACGAATTTAAATTGTTTCTTTGAGCCTCCATAACATAGAAATACAACAAATGGTTTATTGGCCAAACATCACCCATGCAATCGCAGCCTTATAGTGCTGAATTGATGCAGGGTTTACAATCAGATAATACAAACGGTAATAATACACATAATAATACACATAATACACATGATACATATTTGTTCCACATTTTTGTGGAACTGCCGCAAGGGTCTGTGCGGCTGCCATTCGGCGCCAAAGGTGACCTCAACACGACTTTCCCCAACCGAAGTTAGGTACCCATTCACACATGGGTGGATTGAGGAAAGTCGTGTAAAGTGCCTTTCCCAAGGGCACAACGTCGGGGCGCATGTCCAGACATGCCCCCGGTACGACTCGAAATCAAACCCGGGTCTCCTGGTTTACAGTCGGATGATCTTCCAGTACGCCACCTGACGCCACATAGCGGGTATCTTTTCCATAATTACTACTAGTTCCATGTCTAAAGTAAAAAGTCAAAACATATGATCCAACACAAAGAAATCCTCTCACCTAGAGCTTTTGACTAGTCACTCTGATCTTCTTTAATAGACTAACCAAGTGAGACTTTCTCACGTGACTTTTCTAAGGTGTGACTTGTTTATAGGATACCTTTGACCCAGTGTTGACGTCACAATTAAGAGACGCCACGTGGCAAATCTCACTGGGTCAGTTTACTGAGGAAGACCAGAGTGACTCGTCAAAAGTTCTAGGTGAGGATATTAATAAATTCTTTGTGTTGGAACAAAATGGTTTAACTTTAAACACATGAATATTCACATTCATGTACAGCATTTCCAGAAGCTGAAACAGTGGGACTGTCCACCTTGCACGCGGTGATGATTGGTGTTGTGCCATCTGTGGTACTACTTGTACTGGGAGTAGTAGCAGGAATTCTGGGATACCGGCGAGGCAGAAAGAGACAAAGCGACGACCTTGAATTAGAAGAGTTTGACTTTCATCCCGATATTCTAGGTATGTGATATCATGGCATACTTGCAGTTTTGCCATTCTATTTTTCGGTACCAATGCGCAAAAATTAATGAGTAAATAGTCATGTTACATGTATGTTTTACAAAGAGGAATTCGAAGCACGTATTAATTAGAAGCTGCGTTGCTAAAAGCGTCCATGACTTTATCTATTCTGTAAGTATGTCGTTGATACAAATGCATATGTTTTGTATTCAATAAGACAGAAAAAGTGTGTATTATGATGATGAATACTGTTGTATTACACCATGAGCCCTATTTAAGACACTCATGATGTTGTTTCACTACTTTGTTCCCATAATTATCTACAGATTTGCACGGACCATCACCCCCACCTGCCCCGCCTGTGCCGGCTCGACCACAGTTCCGGGAGTACGAGGTAAACCCGACTGACCTGCGACTGAATGAAGAAATCGGCAGAGGTGCCTTCGGTATCGTCTTCCTTGCAACTTTAAAGAGAGCTGTTGATGGCCTTCTCACGGAACAAACAGTGGTGGCCAAAACTGTCCGTGGTAAGTCAACGCCAGCTGGTTATTATGATAATACTCTATCTTCATTAACGCTACGAGCTTCGTTTATTTATTTTGCCCCATGTTTAATGTCTGAAAGCATGGTACACAGCACGTAAGCAGAGAAAGTTAGTCTTTGGTGTGATCTGGCCCAAATGCAAAACACGCAATCTACCCCCTGTGCAATTGCACCGGTTAAGCTTCAGTAACTGTATCAACAGTGAAAGGTTTTTGTTTTTTGCAGAGAACGCGGGAGAAGAGGAGATACAAAATTTTATACAAGAGGTCGACACCACCATCACCCTGAGGCAGCACATCAACCTGCTCGGTCTGGTGGGCTGCTGTACGCTGTCTCACCCTCCCTACCTGGTGACGGAGTACATGCCGTATGGGGACCTCAAGAACTTCCTACTCAAGTGCAGGAAGGTACTTGTATATACCTCCCTTTTATAGTCGCGTAACTTAAATGTAGATATCTTTAAATTTCGTCTTATTCTGCCAGTAATTATGGTTAAACTATCAGAAAGATGCTGTCCCTATTTTGTTCATGTTTATGTTTGATGAATAATTGTAATCTGAATCTCATACAAATCTGCAACTAAAGTTTAAAAAACTACTTGTAATGTTATGTGCCACATTCGTGTTGTGATCAGCTAACCATTTAATCCTTTCAAGTATGGCTCGATAGATCTAGAAGCTGCTGGTGTATTTTACTTAATGTATTTTAATGTTTTTCTTGCTATGCAAAACTCAAGCAATAATTTGCTATTTCGAAGTTACCAAAAGTTAGTGTCTGAACATTAAATGTCCCTTTGGGGGGGGGGGCATGTCAGCCATTGTAATACCTTTTGATGAAGCGAACTTATTTTCATGCTGACTCTTTTCATGTAAATCTATAGTTGGGTGAGAGGCTCCAAGACAGCATGTATGACTTCGACGAGATGAAGATCTACCAGGTAGCACGGCAGATAGCAAATGGAATGGTAAGCAGACATCTACACACTATATTTTCACTGAGAACACACGCATGTATACTGTATTTATAAGACACAGTCTTGTAAACAGAATGAGCTAATAAAATGCACATATTAAATGTCTAAATGCTCCGAATTCTATCACGGACTGAAAAACACAATCTCGTCCTATAAAACACACTTTACAAGGAAGATTATTGCTTATCATATAGCCGGGTGACGTTGACCAATCAGAAGGCTCCATTCCACATTCCTTATGACGCCGTAATGTCACAAATGGAGTCAAAATCGGGTACTTATTCATCCCAATCCATACATTAAACAACCCTATAATCACCCGCATATGACCTCAGGTGACCCAATAGAACACGGCTCTAGTTCTAAAAAATCCAAAAATAACTTCAGTAGTGTTCCAATGACCTCGGGTGACTCCCATAAGAACACCTGTTCCCTGACTGTGACCCAGATAGAAGACATAGAACGTGAACTCTACCTAGTGACCTCAGGTGACTCCAGATGGAACTATGTTCTATTCTGCATGTGCAACGGGTAAATTGTACATCGTGTCACTTACTGCATCAGTTTGGATAGGCTATCGTGGAAGCTATATGATAATAGCGTTAATGTCCCGCCCTTTCTTTATATAGCAATAGATGCCAATTACCTTGTACAATTGTTGCACGATGTTTATACGAGAAAACTAGCGTGACTGGTCGAAAGCTCTAGGTGAGATAACTATTTTGTGTTGGATCAAAAGTTCTAACTTTAAACATGAACATCCAGGTTTATTTGTTTATGTTTGCTGACCATATTCACCTTCATTTTGAACTTTTTGAATTGCATGTTTTTTTTTACTTTCTCTCTCGAAACAGACGTACATTTCCCAGGCTGGTTACGTGCACGGCGACCTGGCTGCCCGGAACGTGCTCGTAGGAGAGAACCTGGTGGTGAAGATCGCAGACTTCGGCCTGACAACAGACATCTACGAGCGAGGCTACCAGCGGCAGGACGCGGAGCAGAAGATCCCCCTGAGGTGGATGGCACCGGAAAGGCTGATGCGAGAGGGCCGGTACACCAGCAAGAGTGACGTGTGAGTGCAGCTACTGCTTTGGGTTTTGTCTTTCCCATGTACATTTTAGGTTCCTACTGTAAATATATAATCTGGCAGCAAAACTATGCAAAAAATTGTCTCAGTATAAATTCTGATACATGAAAACCATAAAGCCATTACAGAAACTGTATTGAAGCGTTACAAAGATAATCTTCCTTGCATGCTATCAATTGCAGAAGAAGAAGTATTGCTTTGTGATTTTAGAATCGAATACATTTGCACAGATCTAGCTAGATACTCTTGATATGTTGAAAGCATTTTAGAACCAGCAGTGAGTGTTTGAAGTAGGTAGATATAACTAGCCCTATGCTGTATGTTATCTCCTGTCAGCTTTAGCAGAATTATTACACACTTTAAATTTTGCTAGTGGACATCCGCATGATAAAGGTAGATTCCTATCATGCTGCCCATTATACATTTTGCTTTGCATAATCCATGATCAAATCTAATTTTCACGCCCAGTTGGTCCTTCGGTGTGGTGCTGTACGAGATCGCTACGCTAGGGAACGTGCCCTATCCGGTTCTGGAACGCACGCTCCTGGAGGAACTCCGCACAGGGTACCGCGAACCAAGCCCGCCTGGCCTCAAACAAGAGCTGTACGTAAAAGAGAATTCTTTTTGATTTCATTTGTTTTTTCACTGATACACATGGTGGTTTCCAGAGGCCCTCTCCACATATAACAGTGACAGTAATGAGATGTGAAAAAAGACAAAAACCAATTTAAAGACAAATGGTAAACATAAAGCTCATGGACACAAATTATATATTTGATTAAGATAGAGATCATCGTGTTCCTTACTAGAAGAGTAGTGCACTAAATAATGTTGAATAGTTACTCTTTTTTTCATGCATAATGGTGGTGACAAAAATCCTGTGTCTTTGGTCTACTCCATTTAAAATCTTGTAACATTGTCAATCACCGATGACTTACACAATAAAACCAATAGGTACGACATGATGCTGCGGTGCTGGCAATGGGAGGAAGACGATCGCCCGGAGTTTGAGGAGCTTTACGAGGAGCTGGACGCTGTGGTAGAAACCATGGCCGAGGGTTATATAAAACCCGGTTCCGGCTCCCCAGTGGGGGGTCCGAATGAGGCAGCAGAAGCTCTTGAAACCGCGTACGACGTCCCAAAGTCGGGCCGGATGGGTACGCAACTCCACGTCACTGCAGACGTCTACATCAGCGAAGATCGTGTTGAAGTCGACTCACTCGCGTCCTCAAATGCAGAATCCAGTTCCGTACTAATAGAGAAGGATGTGGACTCTGATAATGATGTCCAAGTTAACAACTGCAAGGCCACGCAGCAAGACACCCTCTTGGAAAGTGAAGATCACGACCATTTACAAGTGGAATCCTCCCAACCCACCGGGTGCAGTAATTATGGATACCAATTTGACAGTTCCACCGACTCCGAGCTGCCAGTGACAACGAATGCACAGAAAAATGAAACCCCGGCTATAATTGAGGACAACTCCAGTGATGCTGAAGAAGAAAAGTTGAAGCCTCCAACAACAGAAGAAATTGTGCATTATGTCTAATGGCTTACTTTTACAGAAGTCTGTTCTGTATACAGGTCGCAAATAGGAAAATTCAAACTCTACTACTGGAAAAATTACGGACGTTTCGATTGACATCCACCACTCTTCTTCAGTGTCACTAATGAACTAACAGAACTCGATAAGGCATATGTGAGCAGCTGGAAAAAAACGGTTAAACATGACAAATGTCCATAAGGTCATTGATATGTTAAGTACATAGGTTAGTTCCTATGGTTAGACAACACCATAGGAACTGTTACTGTCCTTTAGGTTTTGGCAGGGCACGGGCCAATGTACTAGAGAGCTTTACACGCTTTATCTAGTAGTAGAGTTTGAATTTTACTATGAGTATTGTTTGGCTTTGAATTTTCCTATGAATATTGGTTACCTGGATGCCCAACCTTCATCAAAATATCTGCAGGTTGTATTACTGCTTTGTGAATGCATTTATGAACACGGAAAATGAATCATTTATATTGCCAACATATTTTGAATGTTGAATATTATCATTAGTTGATGTACAGTTTGCTGCATATGTTTTTCTTCTGGATAATTTCTTTGTAAAAGAAATACTAAACAGAGCAAAATAAACAGAGCTGCAGTATAGTTTGTTAGGAGAGACGTGAAGGTAAACATTAGGAATTTGCTTTGGAATTGTTACCTTTCAAGTCACCATTTAACATATACACATATATATATATATATAATGTATTATCCTAGAAGCTGCAATGGTATATGTATCAAATAGGTGTCGCTTTTGCATTGACGCTGTTACTTAGCAACATCATCAACCCATAGAGGCAGAAGAAGGGGAGCAGATGTTATCATCGTTAACCCTAAACAGTACACCTGGGGTCCGCGCGGACCCCAGCACTATATATTCTGTAATATCTTTTTTTGTTTCTAAAGATTTTTTTCTGAAATTTTAGGTCATTGTCACCCACAAAGTTGTCTCTCAATACAGTGCAGAAAACTCTGTTTCCCCCATTTATGAAAAAAATTATATCTGATTTTCTTTTGGGGTCTGCGCGGACCCCAGCCAGCTTTCGATCGTAATGTATACACTGGCGTTCTTATACATAACCTTATTTCTATTTTCATATGTTTTTATGCACTTATCGAATGGCTACCGAATTTTCATAGAATGGTGTAGTAATAGAATTAAATTTTAACAACTTTGGTGTAATTATGTCATATGACGTCAGAGCTAATAATATGGTCCCCCATATTGTATTTTGACCAATGACGTCATCAAATTAGCATATTTTATGAATATTAGATAATTTAACTTATCTTTAATTATGTAAGATGTTATTAATGTCAGAAAGGAAGAGTAATTTGATATAAAACTTAGAAATTTTTTATGTTTTCACCAAAATTACTGATATTTAAAAAACTGCCTGTCAGAAACCCGTTGCCATGGCAACACAAAAAAACAATAAATCACTAGTATCAAACTAATATGAATTTTTTCCCAGATACATTTTAGGAAAGGTCACCAAATTTGATGCTTCTAGAGCAAGCCGTTCAGGCGCTATCTGAGATTAAAGTTGGGCCTGAAAAGCCCCTTCGGTCTGAATAGGGCTTAAAATTGGATATTTTTAAAACCCACGTAAATCATTCTTTATTCATCGAATAAGAAATATACAAAGACTCCAGGCCATGCCAGCCAGTAATGACCGGACATGCAGGACAACATTAACAATGACAGCGACTATGACATACACAATTGACATTATATTGATCAAGCTTAGTGGCAAGAGGTTTAAAATCTGGGATTAACTATATATTAATTGGACATTATTAAAAGGGCATCTGTATTACTGTAGTAATTATTCTAAATAAAAGAATAACATTACAAAGAGTATATTGCACGACTTGTGTTGTTTGGCTAATTGCACTGTATAGGTCAGCGGCTATTGCACGAGTTACTGTTATTGCACGGCGTGTACGAGGTAAAACTATAATCACAGCACATCTACATCCCAACACGGTTCGTGTCTAGAGATCCAAATAGCATATGATGTTGTCAGTGCGGTACGACTAATGTAATTGAAAAAGTTTTTGGGTAGTTTGGACTTTACAGTCTTAAAGATGTTCTTAAGTCTACACTTGTTTTCTGGGGTGATCAGACCTTTGGAACCGACTTCAAAGCAGTTCAGGGTGGTGGTTATTCCTGCAGTTTCCAAGTCTGCCACAAGGGCCGCATATTTGTCAGTCTTATATATGTTCATGGCTTCGCTTAATGTTTTGTTCGAATGGAACTGTCAGTTCGTACAGATGTATGATGTTTTGTTCTGGCAGGTGAACGACTAGGTCCGGCTTCTGAGTCGTGGGTAATATGTGGACAGGAATGGTGCCTCCATTAGTTGTATATCCGTGCATGTCTGCATAGACCTGGGCGTTGGTCAGTGAAGGGTTGATGGATTCCTGGATGCTGTCCGTGATGTGTTTAAGTAATGAGTTGTGCCGGAATGTGAACCGACCTTGTTGGAGGGAGACATTACAGTGGTTCAGCACGTGGTGAAGTGTTTCTCGGTTGCCGCATAGTTTACACCTGTCACTGTTACGCTTTCCCCAAGTGGCCAAGTTACAAAACGTAGGGAGGGCATCAATCGAGGCACGTACTGCAAAACTAAGGATGCCCTTTGGCAGGTTGTATATAGCTGATTTCCAGGTGAGGTCACATTTCTCCTTTTCAAGGAGTTGTAACATTTGTCCTTGTTGTAACAGGCTTTTTTGGTGTTCGCTCCAGACTTAATGACGCATACCTGTGAGTTGCTGTTTAATCTCTTTACGGACTGATGCCCATTCTGGATCCTTTGCTGCGTTGGTGGCTTGTTGGTGGATTATGTGGCACTTTTCAAGACCATATTTCTTCAGTTTCCTTAAGTCCACTGAGATTCACGTTCCAGTTTTGCTTGTAGAGCAAGTTTCACTTTCTCGTCGGCCTTGAGCACAGACCTGCTGTAGGCCAGGGTGTGGGCCTCAAGGTACAGATCAGAGACGGTTTTAAAGTTTAGGCCTCTTGTGTTATACAGTACAGCGTTGGTGGCACTGGGTTGTACTTTGAGCCACGTTTTGATAGCCTTCGTGTGGACGGCGTCAAGCTTTTGTAGCTGGGTGTCTGTCAGGTCATGCACCATCAACAGGTACCTCCATGAAGGGAAAGCGTACTCCATGTAGACTCTGAGTTTGTATTCATTTCTTATAGCTGATGTGTTTATATTTTGAACAGTTGCAATTGTTTCTATCGTCTTTGCTGGTATCTCGTATGTCTCGTCTGTCTTCCCCAGGTAGGTTATGTAGCTACCAATGCATTTCTCCGGTGCGTCTTTTGTTGTTTTCAGTGGGTCCCCGTCAATGGTGAAGGTGATCTCCGTAGACTTGCCACTCACGATGGACATTGACTTGCACTTACGAGGCTTCAATCACAGCACGAAAACACATATTTAAGCCAACTTTACGAACTGCGTGAAGAGGTATTAAAGGCAGCGAAATATTTCAGCAGCCTTTACGACATCGGAAAGGCAACTAAAAGGGAAATATGGCCTTTCCGTCACCTTTCCACATGTGTAAATGTCACGTTAATATAAAGTGTTTCTTTCCGTAAGCTTTACATGGACTTAAAAATAATGTAAAGAAAGCATGCGGAAATGGGTTAACTAGAGGCATCTCAAAAGCCATACGATTTTTTTAATTTTTTTTAATAAAGTCCTTACCAACCTCACGCGACTAAACACAAGCATTTTATATATGCTTTTTTATCTTTGGTTTTACCTGAAATATTAGATATCTCCCATGATTTCTTGTTGAATCGCCGAAAAATTATTATGTCTTGTCATTTCTATATGTTTATGTCTCCAAAAACACACGGTTCCTTTCCTCGTTCTATAAACAAGCTTTCCGCCGACCTGGAGGCAAGTTCCCTCTATACAGTAAAGGCGTAGTTAAGCTACAGGAAATGTTGCGTTTCTTTTTCTTTTCTTACCGTCGCAAAGTTTTCCATAAATTGAAGCAATTGCCATGTTTGTCACTGTCACTTGAGAGCGTCCAAATATAACAACACACCGTGCCTGGTCCTTTCTACCATATCTGGCTTTCCAAAAACACAGTGTTTGATTCCAAAAATATACGGTTCCTTTCCTCCTTCTATAAACAAGCTTTCCCCCTATACAGTGTAGGCGTCGTTAAGCTACAGGAAATTTTGCGTTTCTGTGTCTTTTCCTCCCGCGTCGCAAAGCTTTCCCAAAATTGTAGCAAGCGCCATGTTTTTTCACACTTAGAGAGAGCGGAAAATGCAAAAACATATGATTTGTCCTTTCTATATAATATGTGGCTTTCCAAAAACATACTACACTGTATTACGGTTCCTTTCCTAGCTACTTCTGTAAACAAGCTTTCCGCCGACCGGGAGACATCTCCCCTTATACAGTATAGACGTCGTTAAGCTACAGGAAATACGTACGGCGCTGTGCTGAGATCTGAACATTTAGAACTCACAGAATATGTTTAACTCTAGACTGACAGATAAAACATTTTTTTCAAACCGAGATAGACTATAATACTGGGCAACTGTAGACTAGTTCAGTTGTCCTTTATATTGAACGATTCTTCCGTTATCAGCCAGGAACCCATAATTTCTCAGTCAACAACCCATACGAAGTTCACTACGGTCCGTGTCTATACGCACGGCGCTGTGCCGAGTTCCTGATATTTAGAACTCACAGAATATGTTGAACTCGAGACTGACAGATAAAATATTTTTCAAACCAAGATAGACTACAATACTGGGAAACTGTAGACTTCTTTAGTTTTCCTTTAGATTGAACGATTCTTTCGTCATCAGCCAGGAACCCATAATTTCTCAGTCAACAACCTACCCGAAGTTTACTTCGGTCCGTGTCAATACGTACGGCCCCGAAGTTCATTACGGTACGGCCGCGCGGTTCAATACGTACTGCGCTGTATATGTACTGAGTTCCTGAACATTTAGAACTCATTACCTTCGCCAAGAAGGTTATGTTTTCG